AAAAAAAAAAAAAAAAAAAAAAAAAAAAAAAAAAAAAAACTACACCCTCTCACTATTTTCTAAGGGGAAAAATGAATGATAAATTAGATAATACATTTAAGTTAAAAGTACAAAAGAAATAGTAATAATACATAAACAGAAGTACAGAAAAAAATCAATAAATAAAGAAATAACTCGATCAGTCATCAACCACCGTCAAGAAACCCAAAGCCCCTGACCGGAAATGCTCGAACCACTCCCGGGGGCCCGCAAACGGCATAAGCCCACAAAATAACGGCATAATTAGCAACAGAGCAAAGAAAATCACCCTTCTCACCCAGTATGGGAAAAGTACCGGACTCTTGCCCTCGGCCCGCTCCACAACGGTGATGGGCCCATTCAGGATAACATAAAGATACGAGCTGAAAACATTCGAGAAGAAATGCAATGAACACAAGGCCTCCCAATAAATTAGCCACTGGGACCCACTCCCTCCCAATGTGTCGACACAAAATTTGCCCGCATAGCCACACATGACACCTAAGAGTAGAAGTATGAAGGTGACGGGCATCGTATGATGTGAAGCGGATGATCGTTGGATGAGTAGAAAGGCAATGGCTCCGATCATTAGAATTCCAAACAGCATGCGGCTCAAGACTTGGATTTGGCATTTTAAAAGATGAAGGCCCGTGTTGAAGGTCGCCATCGATTTTGGCATCCACCAAGATTTGGATTCCTAATGTCAAAGGAAAAAAATATGGCATAATTTAATGGGTATAACTGTATAAGATGAAAGCCGAAACATTGTGGTGTTCCGATGAAAAAAGTTTCAGTCTGGGTATAAAGTGTTGGCCAACCAATTAGAGCTAAAACTCAAAATGGCGATGATACATTGTTAATAGAAGCGAGAAGGATAATACTTACCGTATGCGGAGAGCAAGCTTCAGTGGCTTCAATGATCCTCCGGTGAGAATACACATATGTCCCATAACCAAGCGAAAATAACATCATAACTAAACCAGCGACTAAAAAATCCAAGCATTTCTTAAGCTGCTCCACCTGTCTCATTTCCTGTAACTGAGTCTTGAATTTTTCAGCTTTAAAAGACGCCTTGGATAAACCCATCGAAAATTTCCACCTCTCCAAGATATTTGCACTGGATTTCAGTTCCAGCTGTTTTTCCTTAAGCTGCATTTTTTTCATGATAAGTCCGATCTCGAATGCCTTGAGGTCATTTGAACGGGTTTGCTCGATGATAGATTTTTCAATCGTGCTTAGCATGGAAAATTGGTCGGTATTAGAATGTGCCAATTGACGCTCGTCATTTTTATCATGCAGAACGAGCTCTCGACTCATTGAATTTGTGCTCGTGATTTCCTCCATCCGAGTGGGAGTTTGACTTTGACTTTGACCTAAAGGGCGTGAAGAATCTTGGACTTGGTCAAGGGACGTACGCGGGCCCAGCACTTCTTGGTGTTGTTCGCCAGAAGAGAGTGACTGTAAATTATCTTGGGCTTCGTGGAAGCATATGGGATTTTTGAGTTTATCAAGGGAACATGAACAAGAACACCTTACAAATCGAGCTCTTTGGGCTTGTTCGTGGATGTTCTGAGGTATATCACTGATTAATCTCAAAGTCATCAGCGTACTTCGAAATGATTTCTCAAAATTCTCTACGAAATTATCGAATTTTTCGCCAAAAACCTTCAAACAAGCAATACATACAATAAATAAGATAGGATTAGCATAAGTGCATGTATAAATTCCACGGGTGCTCATAGAAAGAACACAGAAACTACAAGAGTCTGAATAAAGCCAGAGTAAGACATACATTTCCCAGGGACTCGCGTACAGCCAATATGCATATCTGCAATTGAGACACCATGAGATTTTTATTATAGCCCCCAACACACAGAATAGATAAACCAGAAAGACATCTAGGCTAAACACAAAACGAACAAAACAATATTTTCCTGCTTTATACAATGAATATGAATTTGTATCACAGTTGAAGCTCTGTAGAGATTCAATTGGACAAGATCATATATCTAAGAGCGTGTTTGGATATGAATTTTTTTTGTTTTGTTGGATTTTTTGGTTTAGTTTGGTTAATTTTGAAAAAGGTAGTATGGTTAATTGTTAGTGGGTATATTAAAATAATATTTAAAATAAAGTAATTAATAATTTGATGTGATGGTTAGTTAATATAATGTGAGTGGATGAATAGTGAATTAAGGTTGATGTAGTGTGTATGAATGATTGATTGATATTATTTAATTATATTGGTAATATTGATGATAGTGGGATTGAGTTAAAGTTGAGTTAAAAAAAGTTGTTGAATTAAAATGTTGAAACTTTTTTGGAGATTTCTTGTATACAAACATGCCCTAAGTGATTAGAAGTCAATATGAATGCCTGAGATAAATAAGATGATGCCATAAGGCTAATATATGACTATGATAAAGTAATAAACATATAGCACGATAAGGAGGAAGAGAGTACCTGAGACAGATAATCCAGGGACAAGTTATCCCCAGCTGCATTTTTTCTATCCAGAACCTAAAACAAACAAGCAATATATGTCATGTTACGTAACTAATTTACTTCTTGAAAATGAACAAATAATATTGAGTTACAGAATAATATAAGAATAAATCTATCCAAGTGCTCTCGAAGCCGTACACCATGGTAAATGGGGACAATAAGAACAAATGCAGAAGAACAGATTGCCAAGAACAATATGCATTCTCACCAAAACATGTAAGGATTATCCAAGTACCAATTAAATGACATAACGAGAATCACAAGATTACTTAAAGGAATATACTTCTCATGCCCCATCTAGAAAAAAATTGTCTTCTCAACTATGATTAGAACTTCTCAAATCCTGGGATCAAAAGAATCAAGTTTGACGAGAAGAGAAACTTGTCATTGTTTCTACATATTGGGATTGAAAACAACCCACATTCTGAGAAAAAAAAAAATACAACTTTGAAAACTTAGAAACGATAACCCATCCACTAGATAAAGTTCGTATAACAAATCGAAACATGATTGCTCGATTATAAATTAACAGCTACCTTAAGAACATGCCTCTCCTGAATTTAATAGAATTGTCATAACACTTGCTCTCTTGTAGTACAAAGAGCATTACAGAAGAAACAAAATTTTGAACAAACTTTGGATAAGCACAAAACAAAAGAAACCCAGATATTGAAGAAAAA